ATAGAGCCATGAAATTTGGTACACATGTTCCTCAAGTCAAGACAAGAAAAAAATATTATTATGGCTCCGCCCTCTGACAAACAGGAAGCCCATAAATCTCACTGCAAAATGGAAAAATGAACAGCAAAAGTTTTCATACATGTCGGTTGGAAAGCGACTCCTCCTCGGCCGTTTCACCGATTCGCCTCAAAATCGCTCCACATCATCTCAACACATGTACCTTCAAAATGACCTCAGGGATTTTTGATCAGTGAAACATTGTTCGAGCAGCGGAGCGGCAAAATGTGACCTTTTTTTGGCCGTTTTTGACAACATTAAATTTGCTCCCGTTTGCACAAACAAAGTCTGATTAGCACAAAACTTTCATACATTGTTCAACTCTAGGGTCTAGGTCATTTGAAAGTTAAATGATTCAAATTGACACATTAGCGCCCCCTACAGACTATTTCAAAGTTTTATATGGGCATTTTCAAATTTAGTTTTTTCAAAATGTTTGAAATTTTGCACATAAATCTGTTTTGCCCTCTTGATTCAAAAAATCAATAGGGTCCAAGGCTTATTTTTTACCCTGTTGCCGTGGCGACGACAAACGCTCAACATTCATTGCAAATGTACACCTCACACAAACATCAAACCAGCCTCGGCCGTTTCACCGATTCGCCTCAACATTTTTCGAAATCATCTCAACATATGTACCATCAAAATGACTTCAGGGAATTTTGATCAGTGAAACATTGTTTGAGCAGCAGAGCGCCAAAAAGTGTCGTATGTTTTTTTCAGTTTTTGACAATAGAAAAATTGCTTCCGTTTGCACAAACAAAGTCTGATTTGCACAAAACTTGAATCCATGGTTCAACTATTGGGTCTAAGTCATTTGAAAGTTAGAATTTTGAAATTGGCTCTATAGCGCCACCTACAAAAGCCAATTTAAAAATGCCTATGGGAGGGGTTCGAGGTCAAAATGTTCGTAGAACCATGTAATTTGGTACACATGTTCCTCAAGTCAAGACATGGGAAAAATTTTATTATGGCTAAGCCCTCTGACAAACAGGAAGCCCATAAATTTCATTGCAAAATGGAAAAATGAAAACCAATCATTTTCATACACGTCGGTTGGAAAGCAACTCCTCCTCGGCCGTTTCACTGATTGGCCTCAAAATTGTTCCAAATCATCTCAACACATTTACCTTCAAAATGACCTCAGGGAATTTTGATCAGTGAAACGTTGTTTGAGCAGCGGAACGGCAAATTGTGAGGGTATTTTTGGCCGTTTTTGACAACATACATTTTTTTCCCGTTTGCACAAACAAAGTTTCATTTTCATTAAACTTGAATCTATTGTTCGACTCCAGGGTTTAGGTCATTTGAAAGTTAAATATTTAAAATTGGCCCATTAGCGCCCCCTAAAGACTGAGTCAAAGTTTACATGGGGAGCCAAACCAGCTCTACTTATCATATTCATTACAATTTGACCAACAATCTTCTATGGCAACAATCTTCTATGGCTACGGGAACAAATCATCACACAACGGCGCCACCTCCTTTGAGGGTGCTGCGTGGTACGGTGCGGGGCGGCGTGAGGCGGAACAGCGTGGTGCGGCGTGGCTTGGTACGGGGTGGCTTGGTGCGGGGCGGCGTGGCACGGGGTGGTGCGCGCGGTGCGGGGAGAGCGCGCGGTGCAGGGGGTCGCGCGGTGCGGCGAGGGCCGTTCGACGCCGCTTGCGGCTTTAATTTCTTTCTTTCTTTCTTTCTTTTTTCTTCTGCACTTTGAGCCTTAATTTGACCCCCTGAACATGCATGAAAAGTTGTTAAATTTTGCCCAAAAATCAGACCTGGCGAAAAATTTGATATTTTGGTGTTTATTTTAATGGGACTCAAAAAATGCCAGAACAGCGCCACCTACAACAGCCAAAATAATACCCCTATGGGAGTTTTGGAGATCAAGTTTGTCATAGAGCCATGAAATTTGGTACACATGTTAGTCAAGTCAAGACGAGAAAAAAATATTATGATGGCCCCGCCCTCTAAGAAACAGGAAGCCCATAAATTTCACTGCAAAATGGAGAAATGAACAGCAAAAGTTTTCATACATGTCGGTTGGAAAGCGACTCCTCCTCGGCCGTTTCACCGATTCGCCTCAAAATCGCTCCACATCATCTCAACACATGTACCTTCAAAATGACCTCAGGGATTTTTGATCAGTGAAACATTGTTTGAGCAGCGGAGCGGCAAAATGTGACCTTTTTTTGGCCGTTTATGACAACATTAAATTTGCTCCCGTTTGCACAAACAAAGTCTGATTTGCACAAAACCTTAATACATTGTTCAACTCTAGGGTCTAGGTCATTTGAAAGTGAATTAATTCAAATTGACACATTAGCGCCCCCTACAGACTATTTCAAAGTTTTAGATGGGCATTTTCAAATTTAGTTTTTTCAAAATGTTTGAAATTTGATATTTTGGTGTTTATTTTAATGGGACTCAAAAAATGCCAGAACAGCGCCACCTACAACAGCCAAAATAATACCCCTATGGGACTTTTCGGAGGTCAAGTTTGTTGTAGAAACATGAGATTTGGTACACATGTTCCTCAAGTCAAGACAAGAAAAAAATATTATTATGGCTCCGTCCTCTGACAAACAGGAAGCCCTTAAATTTCACTGCAAAATGGAAAAATGAACAGCAAAAGTTTTCATACATGTCGGTTGGAAAGCGACTCCTCCTCGGCCGTGTCACCGATTCGCCTCAAAATGGCTCCACATCATCTCAACACATGTACCTTCAAAATGACCTCAGGGATTTTTGATCAGTGAAACATTGTTCCAGCAGCGGAGCGGCAAAATGTGACCTTTTTTTGGCCGTTTTTGACAACATTAAATTTGCTCCCGTTTGCACATACAAAGTCCGATTAGCACAAAACTTTAATAGATTGTTCAGCTCTAGGGTCTAGGTCATTTGAAAGTTAAATGATTCCAATTTACTCATTAGCGCCCCCTACAGACTATTTCCAAGTTTTAGATGGGCATTTTCAAATTTAGTTTTTTCAAAATGTTTGAAATTTTGCACATACATCTGTTTTGCCCTCTTGATTCAAAAAGTCAACAGGGTCCAAGGCTTATTTTTTAACCTGTTGTCGTGGCAACGACAAACGCTCCCCATTCATTGCAAATGTACACCTCACACAAACATCAAACCAGCCTCAACCGTTTCACCGATTCGCCTCAAAATCGCTCCACATTATCTCAACACATGTACCATCAAAATTACTTCAGGGAATTTTGATCAGTCAAACGTTGTTTGAGCAGCGGAGCGCCAAAAAGTAGCATAATTTTTTTCCGTTTTTGACAATAGAAAATTTGTTTCCGTTTGCACAAACAAAGTCTGATTTGCACAAAACTTGAATCGATGGTTCAACTCTTGGGTCTAGGTCATTTTAAAGTGAAATAAATTAACTTGGCTCATTAGCGCCCCCTACAGATGGGGTTAAAGTTTTTAGTATGGGAGCGTTTCGAGGTCAAGTTTGCTGTATAGGCATGAAATTTGGTAAACAAGTTCCTCATCTCAAGACATGAAATAAAAGTTATTATTTCACTTCAAAATGGACAAATGAAAAATGATCCTTTTCACACGTGTCGGTTGGAAAGCGACTCCTCCTCGGCCGTTTCACCGATTAGTCTCAAAATCGCTCCACATCATCTAAACACATGTACCATCATTTTGATTTCACAGACTTTTGATCAGTAAAATGTTGTTTGAGCAGCGGAGCGCCAAAAATTATTATTATTATAGTATTTTTTTTCAATTTTTGACAATAGAAAAATTGCTTCCGTTTGCACAAACAAAGTCTGATTTGCACAAAACTTGAATCCATGGTTCAACTCTTGGGTCTAGGTCATTTGAAAGTTAAAATTTTGAAATTGGCTCTATAGCGCCACCTACAACAGCCAATTTAAAAATGCCTATGGGAGGGTTTTGAGGTCAAAATTGTCATAGAACCATGTAATTTGGTACACATGTTCCTCAAGTCAAGACATGGAAAAAATGTTATTGTGGCTAATCTTTCTGACAAACAGGAAGCCCATAAATTTCATTGCAAAATGGAAAAAAGAAAACCAATCATTTTCATACATGTCGGTTTGAAAGCGACTCCTCCTCGGCCGTTTCACCGATTGGCCTCAAAATTGCTCCAAATTATCTCAACACATGTACCTTCAAAATGACTTCAGGGAATTTTAATCAGTGAAACGTTGTTTGAGCAGCGGAGCGGCAAAATGTGAGGTATTTTTTGGCAGTTTTTGATGACATTATTTTTTTTCCCGTTTGCACAAACAAAGTCTGATTTGCATTAAACTTGAACCCATTGTTCAACTCCAAGGTTTAGGTCAGGTGAAAGTGAAATATTTGAAATTGGCCCATTAGCGCCCCCTACAGACTGAGTCAAAGTTTACATGGGGAGCCAAACCAGCTCTACTTATCATATTCATTACAATTTGACTAACATTCTTCTATGGCTACGGGAACAAATCATCACACAGCGGCGCCACTTCCTTTGCGCGGAGCTGCGTGGTACGGTGTGGTGCGGCGTAGTGCGGGGCGTTGTGGAGCGCCGCATTACGGCTTGGTGCGGGGCGGCGTGGCACAGGGTGGTGCGGGGGTTGCGCGGTGCGGCGAGGGCCGTTCAACGCCGCTTGCGGCTTTAATTATTCATGTTTATACTCCACAGACTGTAGTTATTCATGTGTTTACTCCACAGACTGTAGTTATTCATGTTTTTACTCCAGAGACTGTAGTTATTCATGTTTTTACTCCACAGACTGTAGTTATTCATTTGTTTACTCCACAGACTGTAGTTATTCAGAGGAAGGGTCTGGGTCTATAAACAGTTCTTTACATATTGCCAAATAGATCCGTGGTCATCCTTGATTAGCAAAGGGAACTAAAGGGAACTACAGGGAACTCAAGGGAACTAAAGGGACTAAAGGGTGTGTTCTCTCGGTCAGATGGCCCTGATCTTCAGTGAGGCGGGTCTGGACGACGTGCATCCTCCGTGTGTTCTGCAGAGCTTCGTGAACCATGGAGCTGTTCTGCACAAAGTCTTTGTGGTCGGAGACAAACACTTCTGTGTCGAAAGACCCTCCCTCAAGAACTTCCTTCCTGGACCCTGTGGTCAGTTCTATATACACCTGTTTCTATCAGCCCCACTTGGCCCTACTCTACTCTACTCTACTCTACTCTACTCTACTCTACTCTACTCTACTCTACTCTACTCTACTCTACTCTACTCTTTTAATAATATGCCATCGGCCCCTCCGATCACCACCAACCATTCACACCCACACCAGACTCATTCTAGGCAATGGGGGTGAAGTGTGATAATGCTGTTGTCAGATCTCCAGTTGGAATGATGGTCAGCTCCAAAAAAAAGATGTTTTGACATCCGGCGCAAGAAGGACCAAAAAATGTTACTGCTAGTTCACCAGGTTTCCTTAAACAGCCGCCCGATGAAAGGAAGGAAATTACAAACTTAGATAGATATAAAAGAAGGTTTAATATATAAAACAGAATAGATATAAAAGACAGGCAGAGAGAAAATCCCGGGTCTGCGCGGACGAGAGCCAAAGCACAAAAGACCACGCTGATAATTAGGCCTCGCCTCTTATACCAAAGGATTTAAAACACATGTGACAATATGACCTATTGAACTCTAGGTTAGAAAACAATCTTCTCATCCATCAGAAGTGTCTTCTTGTATGAGACCAACTCAACCCAGATGTTTTCTGGCTTCATGCTTGTTTACTCTTCTCGTCTTTCACTCTTGCCTGGGGGCTGAGAGAATTCTGCATTCTCGCCACCCTCAATGCATTAGTTGGTTAACTTGACTAGACCCTAATCTACACACATTTATTAATGTGATAATACACATAACATTTCTTGACAAGTGTCTTGCCTAAGGACACAACGGCAGTTTGGCACTTTACAGCCGCAGCCGCCCCACTCCACTCTACCCTACTCTACTCTACTCTACCCTACTCTACCATATTCTACAGATACAGATACATCAACATTTAACAAGAACAACAAACAAACAAGAAAGGATACAAATATATAACAATAATAATAATAACAACAGACAAACGTACACAATTAGACAAAGGTGACACACAAAAAAACAAACAGATTATTCCATGCTAAATTACACTCCAAGGGTGTGCGTGTGTGTGTGTGTGAGGGTGCTGTGGGTGTGTGTGGGTGTGCGTGCGTGTGGGTGCTGTGGGTGTGTGTGGGTTTGTGTGGGTGCTGTGGGTGTGTGTGGGTGCTGTGGGTGTGTGTGCGTGTGTGGGTGTGTGTGGGTGTGTGTGCGTGTGGGTGCTGTGTGTGTGCGTGTAGGTGCTATGTGTGTGTGCGTGTGGGTGCTGTGTGTGTGTTTGTGCTGTGTGTGTGTGTGTGTGTGTGTGAGGGTGCTGTGGGTGTGTGTGGGTGTGTGTGGGTGTGCGTGCGTGTGGGTGCTGTGGGTGTGTGTGGGTTTGTGTGGGTGCTGTGGGTGTGTGTGGGTGCTGTGGGTGTGTGTGCGTGTGTGGGTGTGTGTGGGTGCTGTGGGTGTGTGTGCGTGTGGGTGCTGTGTGTGTGTGCGTGTAGGTGCTATGTGTGTGTGCGTGTGGGTGCTGTGTGTGTGTTTGTGCTGTGGGTGTGTGTGGGTGCTGTGTGTGCCTACTCTACTTGTCTCTACTCTACTCTACTCTACTTGTGTCTACTCTACTCTACTCTACTTGTCTCTACTCTACTCTACTCTACTTGTCTCTACTCTACTCTACTCTACTTGTCTCTACTCTACTCTACTCTACTTGTCTCTACTCTACTTGTCTCTACTCTACTCTACTCTACTTGTCTCTACTCTACTTGTCTCTACTCTACTTGTCTCTACTCTACTCTACTCTACTTGTCTCTACTCTACTCTACTCTACTTGTCTCTACTCTACTCTACTTGTCTCTACTCTACTCTACTTGTCTCTACTCTACTCTACTCTACTTGTCTCTACTCTACTTGTCTCTACTCTACTTGTCTCTACTCTACTCGTCTCTACTCTACTCGTCTCTACTCTACTCGTCTACTCTACTCGTCTCTACTCTACTCGTCTCTACTCTACTCTACTCGTCTCTACTTGACTGTACTCTACTTGTCTCTACTCTACTTGTCTCTACTCTACTCTACTCTACTCGTCTCTACTTGACTGTACTCTACTTTACTCTACTCTACTCTACTGTACTTGTCTCTACTCTACTCTACTTGTCTCTCCTCTCCTCTACTCTACTCTATTTGTCTCTACTCTACCCTACTCTACTCTCTGTTTCCACCGACCCTGTTACAGTTATTCTCAGTCGCTTTGGTGCATTTTTGTTTTATTTTTTTGTTACCTTTAAATAAAGACAACAAAACAGATGGATAAGTAAGTAAGTTATCTTTATTTATTTACCGCCTTTCACAGACCAGAGTCACAAAGCGGTTTACAATTGTTATTTTTGGGCATTTGTCCTCTCACTCCACAGAGAGATGGGAGCGGGGTCGCCAGTACATGAGGCTCATGCCAGACCTATTGTACATATTTTTAGTGGTAGGGGAAACCGGAGTCCCTGGAGGAAACCTACGCAGACACGGGGAGAACATACAAACTCCACTCAGAAATAGATGTGTAGGTGTGTGTGTGTGTGGGTGTGTGCGTGTGTGGGTGTGTGTTTGCGAGTGCGTGGCGTGCTCTCATGACAGGAAAAAAGGAAAGTACAAGTTACATTTTATATATATATATTACAGTATATATATATTTATAATATATATATTTATAATATATATATGTATATATATATTAGATTATAATAGATAAGGGGGGGTGGTTAAAGCAGTACAAGATCAGAGAGAGCTGTTTGAAGTGATGATTCTGGTTCTGCTCTGTCATTATTGGGAGGTGTTCTATTGAAATGAAGTCGATTAGTAGGTTTTTCCAGTGATATGGATCTTGTTTCTTGTTTTCCAGAGCTATGAGGATGATTTTGAGGTTTGTTGCTTGATTAGAGAGTGTTGATAAGTCCCCTAGCCAGCAGAGTGCAGCTGATAGAGGGATGCGACAGCTCAGCAGGAGGATAGTGACCCCCAAAAGTGTTTTATGGGGGTGCAGTCCCAGGTGGCGTGCATGTATGAGTCTTTGCAGTTTTGAGAACAGCGTGAACAGATTTCAGTGAATTACCTTGTACTTTATTAATTGAAGGTTTGCATTTTTAGTCATGAAAGAAATATTTTTGCAGATTAGGCTCCAGAATTTGACATCGGGAGCAATCGAGAGGTCTCTTTCCCATTTGGATGTGCGTATGCACGTTGCTTGGAGTGGTTTCCGAATAATTTTGTATATTTTAGAGAGTAGTTTTTTAGAAGAAGGAATGTTGATCAATTCTGATAATGCTGAAGGGAGTTGTAAGTTTGCTGTTTTTATGTTTATAGTTGATGTTATTGTGGATTTGAGCTGGAGATATTTCAGGAAATGATTGCTCCCGATTCCGAACTCCTGGGCTTGGAGAGGAAATGGAACAAAGGTGTTGGATGTGATAATATGGTTTAAGTGAGTGATACCCTTTTCAGCCCATGTGCCAAAGTGAAGTGTTTTTTAATGACTTAAAAAATCAGGGTTATTCCAAATCGGTGAGAAAACGGATGGAGAAAGTGTGGAGTTAGTTATTTGGTGGAGTTTCCACCAAGCTGTCAGAGTGGAAGAAGTTGTTGTTGCTTTGAAACATGAATGTAGTTTAATGGTTTGTGTGAGAAAGGGTATGTCTGCATAATGATTGTTCTAGATCTAACCAGGGGGTGTCTGCTTCGATGGGGTGTGTCCATTTATATATGTATTGTAATTGGTTTGCGAGAGAGTAGAGCTGAAAATGTGGTGCTTCTAATCCTCCTTGGTCCTTATTTTTTTGGAGAGCACTCAATTTTATTCGTGGCGTTTTATTTTACCAGTAGAATCTTGTGATGATTGAGTCAAGGGATTTGAACTAGGTTGAATTAGGGTGATATGGGATCCATCCATCCATCCATTTTCTACCCTTTAATCCATTTCTGGGTCAGGGGGGTGGCAATCAGAGATGCCACCCAAGTCTCATAGCACCAGCCCCTCACTGACCCTCTGCAGGTGGTGAGTCCACAGGAGGACGACTGCTCTCTGAGTGTGAGCATAGCCTTGATCTTTCAGTGGGGGCTTTGGGCAAAGTGGGGTTAAGTGTCTTGCCCAAGGACACAACGACAGCAGTCATCAGTGGGAGTTGATGGAGAAGGTGCAGAGGTGGGAATTGAACCCACACCCTTCAGGCCTTAAGGCCAATGCTCTACCAACTGAGCTACTGTCGCCCCATGATAGGGGATCATTGAGAATAAATAGTTTATTTTGGGTAGGATTGTCATTTTTATAACTGCTATTCTGCCTGTAATGGAAAGTTGTAAATTTCATCTTCTATTGTTTTTAATAAAGGTGTGAAGTTAAGAGCATTCAGCTCTGACGGCCTGGCAGAAGTCCTGATGCCTCGATGAGTGATGTGGTCATTACATAGTGGAATGGGTGATTGTTGAGCTGTCGCATCCCATTTGGTGTTATGTAGAGGGAGGATGGCTGATTTATTCCAGTTTATTGCATAATCTGAGATTTTTGAAAATGATTGTGTAGTTTTAATTATTTCTTGAATCGTTTTGTATGAAAAGTATAATATCGTCTGCATAGAGAGAGATCTTGTGAGCTTGAGTAGTTTCAATACCTTTGATGAGGGTGTTCTGACGGATTGCTGCTGCTAGGGTTCTATGAAGATGGTGAATAAGGATGGAGAGAGTGGACATCCCTGGTGCAGTTTGAAACGCTGTGATATTAGTCCGTTAGTTGTGACTGTGGCCGATGGTGAGGTGTATAAGATCTTGATCCAGTTAATAAATGACTCCCCAATGCCAAATCTTTGTAAAGTGGTGAATAAAAATGTCAATTTGACCCTATCAAAAGCTATTTCTGCATCTAAAGTGGCTATAATTGTGTCTTTCTTTTGTAGTGATGAATACCGCATTAAATTACTGTAGTAGATAGATAGATAGATAGACGGACGGACGGACGAACGGACAGACCATAGACTGTATATATCAATGGACAGAGTCACGCCTATCTCTGCCGTTCTAACTAATGGGCCAAAAAATGTGCTCTACTGGAGCAATCCAAAATGGCCACGAGTGGTCCCGCCCACAAGAAAATTGTGAAAAAACACATCTGCACATGCGTCAGCCGGCGCAACTCCATTCATTTGAACGAGAGATTTTAAAAATTCACAGCAGGTAAACTAGAGTGGACCAAAAAAATCCACCCCCTCAGCATTGACACACATGTGGAACGGAGCTTTGGGCCAAGAGCCAACTTTTGGTCCATCCTGTAAAGACAATTCTAACAATGCTATATGTTAGCATTGGCTAATTCTACTTCTGGGTCCACCCCCATCGGCCCGGGGTGGTATTGCAAGCATGTCAGCGCACGCCATTTTGGCCACTTTTGAGCTGGGACCCTCCCCCACTGGGACAGACAGACATAGATAGATAGAGATAGATACTTTATTGATTCCTGTAGGAGCAATACAGATGTCCAGTAGCAGCAAAAACACATCCATCCACACAAACAAATCAAATAAATAGATAATAATAAAAAAAAAAAAAAGCAAATTTAACCCACGTCACAAACGCACCCACTTCCGGTTTTAATTTGACAACTTCCTTTAAAAACATGCACCAGGGCTAGCTTCACGGTCGGCACTAGATCATATACGGAATCGGGACGAAACCGGAAGTAACAATCCTATTTTCAAATTAGTTTTAGACTAAAAAGTCCTTAAGTGGTGACTGGTTAAGTTTTAGGCGTCTGATTAAGATGGTTAAGGTTAGGGTTAAGGCTGGGTTGGGGTTATTTTTGGCTGGTTAAGTTTAGGCATGAATAGGTAGTTTGTTATATTTACTTCCGCTTCCGTCCCGATTCCGTATATGATCTAGTGCTGACCCTAGCCTTCACCCCTGCTCCTCTGGCCGGTCTCACTGCCTGTCTTGAGTGATAGATCATTGATACCTTTGATCGTTCCACATCACCAGCACAGACCCACCGGATCCACTCATTGATTGTCACTGTCACACCCGCTCAACGATCAAGTTTTTTAATGTACTGACTCTGATCCCCCACTGGATGGCGAGCTAACCCACGAACTACTAGACACCTAAACCTATAACCACCCTACCCCCCGCATCATCGTGGTAGGAAAAAACCTTTCCATTTCAACAATACCCTGTGGATTACAATACTTACCTCACCCTTTGGATTACAAATACAAACAATACCTCATTTAACTTGAATACTCCTTTTGAACTATTTTTTATTTACCTTTTTGAAGGACACCTTTTGTTGTTTTTTTTGTAATTGTTTATTATAATTGTTTATTCATGAATACATATATATACCAACTTATATCATTCTATATCTAAACTATTATATAACAATGAAAAATACTTAAATACGGGGCTGGTGCTAAGTGTACTGGGTGCAGCTCTGACTGCCACCCCCCCCCCCCGACCCAGAAATGGATTAAGGGGAAGAAAATGGATGGATGGAAATACTTAAATACAATAATTTTGCGTAAACTGAACTTACCTGTCGTGGTTATTCACACACCTTGGCTCAGGTAGAGTAGAGTAGAGTAGAGTAGAGTAGAGTAGGGCTGGTGGGACCTGGGATCCTTTTATAGGATTTGAGAGAATACTTTTCCTGTGATATTACTATTTGAATGCACAATCTTAAATATGAGCAGCCTTTGTTCTTTAAGTCTATGGCACATTTTAAAGTAATATTTTAATTTAGTAGCTCATGTTTTTTTGATTTACAGACAGAAAAACCATATTCTTCAACAGTCAACAAGTGTCTAAACCAGAGTCCAGCTCAGACCTGAACGCTGTAAGTACTTTTCATGGACAGTCATTATGTAAAACTGTCTCTTAGCTTTTTAAGATTTTAGCTTAATCCACGCTAAGTTCGAATTCATGCACTTCTGGAATCAGCACAAACACCACCCCGACCCTTCTGCCCAAATGCTTCTTCTTTTACAACTTTGGTACAAATGAAAATAATGAACAGAATTATTAAAACCAGAGCTATACATTCAAATTAAAAAAGTCAAATTCTACATCTGCCTTCCTTCAGTTAGACAGCACAATGATTTAAATCCTGAGTATGTATTGTCCCACTTCTACCACTAGATGGAAGTGTTATCAATTGTCTAGTGTATTTAGATATTTTTTTATTTTTAGAATTTATACAACATTAATTGCAGGATGAATATTGTCAAGATAATGTTTAAGACAAAATTAAAACTCATAATATATGTTTTTTATATGACACATGTTTTGAGTCCTATTTATTCATCACTTTATTTAGACTAATACAGTAATACTATAATAAAAAAGAAAAATAAGTTTTCGATTATTGAACACTATATCTTCCAATTTAAAAAAGTATAAAACAAATATATAAAGTAATTCCATTATGATATCTTCCATTGGTTTTGCTCAGTTGGATGAGCAGATGCCGCTGCTGCCCATGCCCAGCTCCGAGGCCCTGGCTGCCCTGGTCCAGGAGCTGCGGTCTCAACTGGACATGGCTCTGTTTGGAGTGGACATCATCGTAAACATCCACACTCACACCATGACCGTCATCGACCTCAATGTGTTCCCAGGTACAAGGAACATTTAAGTTTATTCACATGACTTTCATGGTAACTGGTGTTTTTGAGATTGAATATCATTTGGTCAGTATTTCCCACTGCTCTTTCTTTCCTTATAAGTAAGTAATATCTATTTATTCTGCGCATTTTACAGAACACCCAATGCGCTTTGCAAAAGTCAGATTTAAGATATTTCCATTCTCTCCACACACAGTGATAGCACCCTCGGTTACAAATATGCAACGTGAATGGTTTTGGAAAAAGAAGTATGACTTTTTGCTTTAATGCATTAATTAATGCATGTACCCAAGAACCCAAAGAAGCAATTATGCTACATTGCCAAATTTATTAATTGAACGCGCTTTCCAAAAAAATCACACATGTTTTTTTTCTACAAATAATTTCATGTCTAGGTTTTAAGTTTTTGGCGGCAAAGTACAGCAGCAGTGTTTTATTACTCCCTAACCCTTCCTTTAACTGCTGGTTGAGGAGGTGTTCAGGGCATGTCCCACCATAGAAGGACACGTTGGAGGGACTCTCAGCTGGGCTGGGAATGCCTTGGGATTGCCCCAGATGAGCAGGAGGAAGTGTGTGTGGAGAGGGAAGAGTGGGAGTCTCTGCTCAGACTGCTGCCCCCTGTGGATAAAGCATTATCAATTCCTCAACAACAGATCAGAGAAGCACTAGGGGAGGTGTTCTGGACTAGTCTCTGTGGGAGAAGACTTCAGAGAAGGTCCCCTAACCCTTACCCTAACCCAGGAGATGCCTGGGTTCGGGTTAAGGGACTATCTTAATGTCTTCACAAAGACCCAATCATATGTTGCTTTAAAACGGTTAGGGTTAGGGTTAGGGTTCGGTCTTTCACCCCTGCTGCTGTCACACTGTACAACAAACAATGAGGACTAAAGAACACTGCCGACACGACCTCACATGTTGTACATTGGTGCAATATCTTGAACTAATGTCAGAATGTGCATTATGCAACATGTAGAGATATAAACATACAACTATATATTTCTGCACTAGAATATACAGCATTTTTTTTATTTTTTTATTATTATGCTAAAGATAGACTACATTTTTTATTTTGCTTAGCGTAGAGTTATTGTTAATTTATCTTGTGCTCTGTGCTTCTCATTCCTTCTAACTGGTGATGCAACAGTGAAATTTTCCCACTGTGGGACGCATAAAGGATCTCGATGTTGTGTTTGTGTTCATTCCAGGCTATGAAGGCGTGCCCCAGTTCTTCTCGTCTTTACTGGACCACATCAAGACGCTGCTAGACTCTGGTTCTTCAATGACGTCCAGTGTTTAACATGTAACTGCTCAATGTTATGAGCTGCATTCACTTTGGTCTCAGCGTTTTGTTTTTGCGTGAAATTGGCACAATACGAGAGTTTTTGTTTACAATTAATTAAGACAAAATTGAAATAGAATACCTCTTTGTACAACAGAAAATGACCTTTCTTCTATTCCTATCAAAGGTCTCTCATTGGCCAGTTTTGGGAATTTGTTTCGTCACATTTTCCAGTTTAAAATGTCAAAGTCTAAGGATTCTGTCCCTCACATTTTCGTAATATGACATTAAAATGTCTGTACTGTCTGTCTTATTCATGTTTATCATTTTTTGGTTGTGTGTCTGAGATGTGCACTTTATGTACATTCAATTTGAAACAATAATAAAAACTCAATCTCACATAGGGTTAACCCAAGTATATATATTAGGGCTGTTGAAGTTTTTGCACATTAATAAAAAATAAAAAATAATCGCGTTAAAAAAATAATGCATGTGCCAAGTGACTGGCACCCCGCGCGTGACTGCGGGGCAATTGCTGTGAATGGGTGGCCGCAGCGTTCTGGGGAAGCTGCGGCCGCTTTGGACAGTCCTGCAGCTGTGAGCGCCTTTCAACAGCGTTCAGCCGTAACGTGGCCATGTACCCAAGACCATATACATACACAGGACCATGTACCCAAGGCCATATACACAGGACCATGTACCCAAGGCCATATACATACACAGGACCATGTTCCCAAGGCCATATACACAGGACCATGTACCCAAGGTCATATACACCACAGGACCACTGTGTGCACTGATCACGCACAGGCGTGACACAATAAAAACAGCACTGCAAGAAACAGTCCGTCTCCCCCGTGTCTTATCGTGAAGCAAAAAAAAAGACTCTAAATTAAAGCTGGGGTGCCTAACTTTTCCTTTGCAATACCATTTCATGCTGTTTGTGCACAAAAATGAAATGTTGTGAGCAAATCAAACAGATTTGATGACAGCCATTGGCTGACATGCATTTCAGACTTTAATTCAAATGTCTCTCCTCCCTGTAACAAACAATCCACAGCCTTTATTAGACAGAGAAGAAGAAGAGGAGCCTTTAGCATATGATATGAGAAGAAGAAGAAGAGGCTTTAGCAGATGATTAGAGACAGAGAAGAACAAGAAGAGGCTTTAGCAGATATGAGACACAGAAGAAGAAGAAAGAGGAGGCTTTAGCAGATGATTAGAGACAGAGAAGAACAAGAAGAAGCTTTAGCAGATATGAGACACAGAAGAAGAAGAAAGAGGAGGCTTTAGCAGATGATATGAGAAAGAGAAGACGAAGAGGAGGAGGCTTTAGCTGATGATATGAGACAGAGAAGAAGAAGAAAGAGGAGGCTTTAGCAGATGATATGAGACAGAGAAGAAGAAGAAAGAGGAGGCTTTAGCAGATGATAGGAGACAGAGAAGAAGAAGAAAGAGGAGGCTTTAGCAGATATGAGACAGAGAAGAAGTAGAGGAGGAGGCTTCAGCTGATTATATGAGACAGAGAAGAAGAAGAGGAGGCTTTAGCTGATGATATGAGACAGAGAAGAAGAGGAGGAGGCTTTAGCTGATGATATGAGACAGAGAAGAAGAAGAGGAGGAGGCTTTAGCTGATGATATGAGACAGAGAAGAAGAAGAGGCTTTAGCAGATGATATGAAACAGAGAAGAGGAGGCTTTAGCAAATGATATGAGACACAGAAGAAGAAGAAAGAGGAGGCTTTAGCAGATGATTAGAGACAGAGAAGAACAAGAAGAGGCTTTAGCAGATATGAGACACAGAAGAAGAAGAAAGAGGAGGCTTTAGCAGATGATATGAGAAAGAGAAGACGAAGAGGAGGAGGCTTTAGCTGATGATATGAGACAGAGAAGAAGAAGAAAGAGGAGGCTTTAGCAGATGATATGAGACAGAGAAGAAGAAGAAAGAGGAGGCTTTAGCAGATGATAGGAGACAGAGAAGAAGTAGAGGAGGAGGCTTCAGCTGATTATATGAGACAGAGAAGAAGAAGAAGAGGAGGCTTTAGCTGATGATATGAGACAGAGAAGAAGAGGAGGAGGCTTTAGCTGATGATATGAGACAGAGAAGAAGAAGAGGAGGAGGCTTTAGCTGATGATATGAGACAGAGAAGAAGAAGAGGCTTTAGCAGATGATATGAAACAGAGAAGAGGAGGCTTTAGCAAATGATATGAGACAGAGAAGAAGAGGAGGAGGCTTTAGCAGATGATATGAGACAGAGAAGAAGAAGAAAAAGAGGCTTTAGCAGATGATATGTGAATATCATGCAGCAAACCACTTGAAACGCGTAAAACAGTTGTTGTTCCAAATTAAAACCGGAAGTGGTCATGTGACACGGGTTACATTGTGATTTGATATTGTTGAATGTTGAGTTTGTCAGGTGGGTTTCTTGCAAGAGGCAGATGTCAGCATTGAGTTTGGATAGGTGGTCTAGTACTTTGAGCTTTTTCTTCTGATTACCAAGTCCGCGAATATTCCATGTGACTATTTTAACAGTTATCATATTAGTTGCAGATTGTATTTATCATAGAGATCATGTATGTTTGGTTGTGCGTGTGTGGGTGTAGATGCGTGTGTGAGTGTGGATGCGCGAGTGAGGGGGGAACAACAAGCGTGTTGGGTAGTTGGGTGTGAGGGGGAGGGACAAATTGAGGGAGAGAGAGGCCTTCCCCACGCCGGAAATAAAATAAAGAAACAACAACAAAAAGATAATACAAACAGTGATTCCATATATTATTGTTACTAATAGCAATAATACTGAAAGAAAAAAATTAAATAATAATGCAAATCGAGTTTGTTCAGCTTTACATATGCATAAGAGTGAAGCGATTGTGTCGCTCAGATGACGTCATCGTTGTGTGCCAATGTTTACTACCGAAGTTTACTCACGTGTGGCTGCCTCGTCGCCACCAGAGAGCCAGTATGTGACTTTAGAGTTGTAGAGTTTATCTATGGACAGCCTTGCTCGCTTTCCCGCGGTCCTCGCTTCGGCTAGGGCTGGATGGAGAAGTTTGCGTCGCTTCATGATCTCTGGAGGGAATTGGTCGCTAAGGGCGAGCTTGGTCCCCTTGAGCTCCCTGCCTCTCCGCATGATGACAGCCTTGTGCCTGGGGTCCAGGAGTTTGGCCACGATAGGACGACATCGGGGTGCTCCTTCACGTGGCTGGCCCAGCCGGTGAGCCCGTGCCAGATCGATCTGCTGGACCAGGTTGTCATCCATCTTGAGGTTAGTTTTGAGGAAAGTCTTGACTAGGTGTTCGGTTGACTGATAAGATTTGTTTTGTTGTTCGGGTAAACCGTGTATAATGAAGTTGTCCCGTATGCTTCGACATTGTAGGTCGAGAATATGATTTTGTGCGTTTACAGAGTCTTGTTGTAGATGCGCTGTCAGAGTTTTGAGCTGATTAACTTCATTACGTAGGGATGCATTGTCTTCTTTGAGGACTTCCACGAGGGAAATGTGGAAGTCCAGTGATGTCTTCAGATCCGAGACATCTTCTGTTAGTTTTTGTAGTGTGTCCAGTTTTTCCAATTGCTTTTGCATTGATTCCATTGTCTCTCTCATATGGCGTATTTCTGTTGAAAGGGATATGTCCATGTCACAGTCGCTAAAGCCTAGCTCCTGTCTTCCGCGTTTACCGTCTTTTTTTTTTCTTTTTTTTTTTTAATATATATATTTATTTAAACATAATACAAACAAAACAGATGTCTCAAAATACATATAACAATCATGATATACAAATACAAAAAAGACAAACTAAAAAATAAAACAAAAACCAGGGCATACACTTAGACGTTTGTTGTCCTCTGTAAATGTAAAGGGCATGTGTCAATAAATGATAAAAGTTTAGTAGCATTCTTAGATTTTATGAGATTTAGTGAAGTATAGAATAGTTTGAACTCATTCCTCCAATGAATGTAGTTCGGGATGGTTTTAAAAAAACGGCACTTGTGAATGTAATGTTTAGCTAACAATATAAGATTATTAACTCCATATTCAGTTAAACTATTAGTAGAGGAAATACCAAACATTACATCATGAATAGCCAAACTTGGCAGTAAAATTCCTTCGGTCCGTATCCCTTGTTGAAAGTCAAACCAGAATAACTGGACAGATTCACAAGAGAAAAATAAATGATCTAAATCTTCTGTCACCGTCTGACAGAATCCACATTTGTCCACATCCAATTTAAATTTACCCCTCAGGAATTTGTTAGTTGGATAAATCCTATTTATAATTTTGAATTGAATCTCTTTACTCTTGAAAGGGAGAGGATATTTTAAATAATTGTATCTGATTTTTTTGATTTGTTCCTTTTGATAATTTTTGAGAATATAATCTCGTTTGAGAGAATTAGTAACCAAGTTATTGAATAGGCAGGATCGAAGGAATTTGTTGTTAAATTTAACGTCAGTAAAATCAGCGATAAGAATTTGTTTATATTTCCTTAGTGTACATTGGATCTGAAACTTATTGCAGAATTCACCATGTTGTAGTAAATTGCCTTCTTCATCCATAAAATGAGAGATGGCCCAAACACCTTTAGAGAACCATTCTTCAATAAATATGGACTTTCTGTTCACCAATACATATCGGTTGTTCCAAATTGGTGAATTGTGTGGGGTGAAATTGTGTTTGAAGATGAGTTTCCAATACAGGAGGACCTGTTGGTAGAATTCTGAAAGTTTCACTGGAAGTTTTGTCAAATCAAAATCACATTTTAAGAGAAAATTAAGACCACCTAACTTTTTGAATATCAAATTGGGAATATAAGACCAGATAGAGCAAGAATGTTGTACAGACCTTTTCAGCCACTCAATCTTCAACATACCATTCATAATGTCAAAATCAATTGCGTTTCCACCTCCATCCTCATAAGATCTAATCAAATCATGTTTAGCTATATAATGACATTTGTTTTTCCAAATGAAATTAAAGTTTAATCTATTTATACTTTTAATCATTTTTGGGGGTATGGATAATGAATAAGCAGGATAGATCAGCCTGGATATGGATAGATCCCTTTGTAACCACCTATTGAAGAACGATTTACAAGTGTCAATATTGTCCAAAATGTTATAACAATACCTAAATAGTTAACTTCTTTCTTCAGATCTATATTGTATAATTGCTGTGACTGGTGATCGTTCAATGCAAATAATTCACATTTTTTCATGTTAAGTTGCAGCCCAGAGGCCTTTGAGAAGACATTTATAGTTTGTAGAGCTAAAGTAATTTGATGTTCATCATTCAAAAACAGCGTTGTATCGTCAGCCAATTGACTGATTATCATCTGTCTGCCCATTACGTCAATTCCAGCTATGCCACTGTTCCTAATTAAGATAGCCAACACCTCAGCAACAATTATGAATAACAGTGGAGAGCATCCACAGCCCTGACGTATGCCTTTTTCAATATTTTTTTTTTTTTATAATTAAATTTTTATTAAGAAGAACACAAGATTGGTCAGACAAATTAAAGAATGAACAAAAATGAGGCTCTCCCTTTTTCCTTTTTAAACCCCCTCTCTTCCCTCTCCCTCCCTCCCCCCCCCCCCCCCCCCCCAGCCCCCCCGCCCCCCCCCGCCACCAACAGAGTATTCCACGTACAGTGATGCTATTACATTACAAAGCGTCAAATTACATTACAAAGCGTCAAAAGAGTACTTTAAGATTTTCAATTAGTTGTGACCACAAGTCAGTTGTATTGGATGACATATTGTTGATCCTCGCCGAAGAAATTTCCATATAAGCAATGTCCATATATAACAATGAAGCCAGTGAGTGAATGAAACATCGTTACTTTTCCACCTTTGCGCAATGATCTTCTTGGCTGCTGTGAGGCCTGCGAGCCAGATTTTGCACTGTCTTCCCGTGAGCCTTATACTTGAGTTATCGTTCAAAAGATGTATAGCGGGTTCCATTGGTAGGGCAACCTTCGTTAGTGTACTGATGCAGCTAACTACTTTACCCCAGAGCTCCTGAACTGCTGGGCATACCCATACAACGTGCATGAAGGAGCCTATGGTCCCTGGGGGACAAAATGAACAATAAGGATCAGGTGCCGCCCCCATTCTATGTCTCATAACAGGGGTTAGGTATGCCCTATGGCAATATTTCAAATGTATATAGCAGTGATTAGAATTCTTTGAGGCTTTCCCAATATTATGCCAAATTCTCTCCCAGTCAAGAATACAAGTATCATTCGAAATGTCCTGTTCCCAAGCCTCCATTCCCATTGAGGGCACCATATTTTGATTTGATAATTGATTGTAAATATATGACACTATCCTTTTTGGAGCTTTCTGTAAGAGTTCAGTAACAGGGTGATCGCTTAGTTCCGATCCCCAGGGAATTCCATAGGCTTTACATGCTGATCTTATTCTGAAATAGAAAAATAAAGTGTGTTTATCAATGTTGTATTTTGATACCAACTCTTGAAAACTAAGGATAGATTCTCCCCCATTAATGTCTTGCAGTACTCTAATACCCTTGTTATTCCACTCCTTATTTGTAAATGGCCTCCCCCCTGAGAGGAGGTTTGTGTTGAACCACAAAGGCGATAATTTATGCCACTTTTGTTTGTGCTTTAGATATCTTTCCACTGCTCTAAATACAACCAACATATATGATAAAATTGGGCCGTACCGCAAATTACATTTCTTAATTGATAATCCCAGAAAAAGAAAGTCTCTCAGCTGCAGTGGCTCAATAAGATTACCTTCAATGGACTTCCATGCTGATTCTTTGTTATCATTTAACCAATAGGACAAACTCCTCAGCACAAAAGCCCAGTGATAAAGTTTAAAATTGGGACATGCACATCCACCAATTGATCGTTTTCTCTGTAACACTGACCACTTAATAGCAGGGCGTTTGCCATTCCAAATATATTTACGGATTAAAGAGTCAAGTTTTTGCCAAAAACCAGTAGGAGGTGGCAGAGGAATCATGGAGCTTACAAAATTTATTCTAGGTAAAATGTTCATTTTAACAGCCGCTATTCGGGCTGGTACCGAAGCTGGTAAGTGCGTCCACCTACCAATGTCCTCTTCAATTTTCTTTAGGACAGATAGGTAGCTATTTTTTGCAGTCAGTGTTATATTAGGTGTGACCCGAATGCCCAAGTAAGTCACCTCCGTAACTGTGGCTACCTCAGGAGGAAGAGTTACCTCTTTTACATCAAAATTTACTAACATTAAAACCGATTTGGAATAATTAACCTTGTAGCCAGAGAGATAGCCGAAATATTCAAGCTTTTTCAACACAACAGGAAGAGAGTCCTGAATATCAGCCATGTAAATCAGTGTATCGTCGGCGTATAGTGATACAGAGTGTGAGGATGAACCAATAGTGATAGGAGATATTTGTGGACAGTCCCTAATTAATTGTGCCAATGGCTCAATAGACAAATTGAATACCAAAGGAGATAATGGGTCGCCCTGCCTACTCCCTCTTTCAATTTGAAATAATTCAGAAAAAATACCTCCGGTACATATTCTCGCTGATGGATTTGAGTACAGGGTCTGTATCATACCAATAAATGCGTCCCCAAATTTAAACTCTTTAAGTACTCTCCACAGATATGTCCATTCTAGGCGATCAAACGCCTTTTCAGCATCCAAGAATAACAATCCACAGGCTGGCGGAATCTTATGTGATGAGCCGAGTACATGAAGCAGGCGCCGAACATTATCAGAAGGAAATCGCCCTTTCAAAAAGCCAGTTTGATCAGGATTAATAATTTTCCCTATCACCTGTTCCATCCTGTTGGCCAAAACTTTAGAGAATATTTTTAAATCAGCATTGATCAATGAGATTGGTCTATAATTTGCACATTCAAGATGATCCTTCCCTGGTTTTGGAATTACAGTTATTAGGGCAGTGTTGAGGTCCCGATGGAATGAGCCTCTATGAATAGCATCATTTATTGCTTCAAGCCACATTGGACCGAGAAGATCCCAGAGTTTTAAATACAGCTCAATTGGAATCCCATCAATTCCTGGTGTACGGCCTGTCTTAGTACTTTTAACTGCCTTTAACAGCTCCTCTAGTGTTATTGGTTGATCAAGATTCTCTGCCTCAATTGCTGTCAAAGCTGGAAGATTAAGACCAGCAAAAAAGTCATCCAGATCCTCCTCTGAAGGTTTTCCGTTACTAGTATACAGCTTTTTAAAATATTCTTTAAAAGTTTTATTTATATCCTCAGTAGAGGTTAACAACCCTTTTTGAGTACATCTAATGGCTGAAATGGCACTCTTGGCCTCCTGTTGTTTTAAAGTAAGAGCTAGAAGATGACTTGGCTTACTACCCTCTGAATAATATTTAGATCTCGTCACCTGCATCATATACTCAACCCTATTTCTCAGTAGGTCATTTAACTCCGCCTGCTTGGTTTTAAGGGTATTTATTTTGGATGTATTATAAACTTTTTTAAGGTCTTTTTCCAAAATCCTACATTCAATTTCCAAATCTGAAATCTTTTGTAATCTCCGTCTGTGCAGATTTGAGCTAAATTGTATTGATATGTTACGAATACTACCCTTAACTGATGCCCATATTAGCGTCTTGTCTGCAATAGTGCCCTTATTCAGAGCAATAAATTCTGTTAATTGGGCCCGTATTTGTTTCAAAAATTCTTCGCACTTTAAAAGAGTAGTATTAAATCTCCATCTACTATTCCTGTTCTTAATCATTGTGTAGTTAAAGGTTGATATTATTGGATTGTGATCCGATATGTACCTCGGTAGAATGTCTATCGCACCAATTGCCGGGAGAAGACTAGAAGACACCATAATATAGTCAATACGGGAAAACGTTTTATGCCTATCTGAGTAAAAGGTGTAATCCCTAGCCGAATGGGTTATGTATCCTCCAAACATCCTTTATGTTTAAGTCTGTCATAAAACGATTAAGCGCCTTTGAAGCAGCATCTTGGGAGCCGGAGAATATGGAAGTTGTTTTATCAAGGTACATATTGACCTGGGCATTCATGTCAGACCCCACATACAACTGGTAGCCAGAAAGTGTCAGCAATCTTTTTGTTATGGAAGGGAAAAAGTCACTTTCAAAGGTATTTGGCGCATACAAGCTAACAAGTGCAATCTTTTTACCCTGAGCGGACACACAACAGTATGACATTCTACCTGCTTCGTCCGAGCCGCTCTTCTCAATTAGCAAATTCAAATTCCGTTTCATAATTATCATGACTCCTTTAGTACGCGTACCATCAGATGACCACGCAACAGGCTTGTATAATCTATTTTGCATTCTAACCACATCACTCGGCCTCAAATGGGTTTCCTGAAACATTGCTATATCTACTTTCTTTCTGTTGAGAAAATCTAAAACCTTGGATCTTTTATAGGGAGAGTTTAAGCCTTTAACATTAAAAGACATAATTTTGAAAGATTTCGGTGTAGTAGCATCAATACATTTAAAAACGTTACGCTCATTGTTGGTAGCAGCAGCCCCCTCTCCCACCCCATCCCTCTGTCCCCCCTGTCCCACCCCATCCCTCTGTGCCCCCTCTCTCACCCCCTCCCTCTGTTCCCCCCCCTTTCCCCATCACCCTCCTGTTGCATCCGTGAGCGTCACTCGGCAACGTCACACGCCAGCCTCCGAACCCACCCCCCTCTTGTATACACTAAACAACAACCCGAACTAGTACCTCAACCCAGCTCCGTCATATAATACTACAAGCGCATTGTTTATCTGAACCGTACAAATGTAATAATGATAATAACTCAAATATAACAGTTGTCCCTTACAAACTCGAGCTACATCAGAAACTCTGTGTACATCAGATAAACCTGAGAGACAATATAAATGATCTGGATTTTTTTTTTTTTTTTTTTTTTTTTTTAATTTTAACTTACTATCCCGGTCTGGTCATTTACCACGTAAAAATAAAACTGTTCCTTCCCGTAAAATAAAAGAAACCAGGAGCCACCTTTCATCAAATAAAAAACAAAAACAAAACAAAAGGCCAAAATAGTCCAACATTTGTGAGCAAGAACAATTCCAAACCTGCTTCTTTGCAGTAGGTCATTTCACCCAGAGTCAGAGTCAACATGTTGTTCTTCCAAGCGCTCGCCTTCTCCATCCTCCCGTAGTGCAGCGGCCAGCGCTTCCTCGGCTTGCCCGGGCGTTTCAAACGACATCTTCCTGCCCTTGTATTTCACCTTCAGGGTTGCAGGGTAGACTAGGAAGGTTTCGATGCCTTTCTTCCGAAGCCTGGCTCGAACATCATTATACTCTCGCCGTCTCTTACTTGTCGCGCGCGGTGCTGTAGTCTGCGTAAAACCACAGCGGAGTGCCAGCTGGGAGACTCGGTTTGGCTTTTCTTGCTCCTTCAAGTATAGCCTGTCGGTCAGTGTAACGAAGAAGACGGAATATCATGGTCTGGGTCTTCGTAGTGCTATTGGAGTAGATCCGATGAGCTCTGTCAATTTCCACTTGTGACCCGCGGAGAGACGGGATCCAGGTGGGGAGCATCTTCTGAATATACCCCCGCGGGTCCTCACCCTCCGCTCCAGTTGGTAAGTTTACCAGCCGCACATTGTTTCTTCTGGCTCGATCCTCTTGCTCAGTCAAGTTCTCACGCAGTTTTTTTATCTCCTCCCAACAGCGCGCAGTATCAGTCTCGTTCTTTCTGAGGTTAGCTTGAATGCTATCTACTTTATTGAAGACTGTAGTGAACTTTTTAGCATGAGTGTCCATCTGTTCGCTCAGTGACCGCAGAATGTTGCTGTTTTCGGTCAATGTCTTCTCAATGGGGGCAAGGGACTCCTTAATAGAATCCTTGATCAGCTTACTGGCGTTCTCGTGAAAGGTCATCATTTCGTCAGCAAGTGTTGTCTTGATTAGCACAGCTAGCTCCTCCGTTAGCTCAGGGGCTGAGAGGCGCGCGGAACTTTTGCTGTTGCCCGCCTCTTGTTTTTTCCCCAAACCTTGTTCTCTTCTTGTTGACATTGTAAGAGAACTCAGAGCGCACCTCCAGACAGTTAAAAACGTTATCGGGTTTTGTTAAATATATCAACTCAATACGGGGTTGCACGGAGCTCAGCGCGTCGCTGCCATCTTGCCTCGTGCCTCACCGGAACTCCCCTGCCTTTTTCAATATTGAATCTTTTACATGTACCTTGTCCCAAAGAAACTGAACTGTTTATGTCCTTATATAACATCCCAATTATGTTGTTGAATCTTTCTCCAAATCCAAAGTTATTTAATGTTTTTAAAATGAATGCGTGTTCAACAGAATCAAATGCCTTATAAAAATCAAGAAATAGTATAAAGCCATTTTGATCTAAAGAATATGAATAATCAATTATATCCAGTACCAGTCTGATATTATTATGAATAACTCTACTTTTTAGAAAACCAGATTGCGTTTCGCTTATGATTTCTGATAATCCTTTTTTAAGTCTTTCTGCAACTGACCCAGAGAAGATCTTATAATCAGTGTTAAGTAAAGTAATTGGCCTTAGATTATCAAGTTGTCTCTTATCTTTTCCTGGTTTTGGTATTAGTGTTATTACTCCCTGTTTCATGCTCGATCAGTTCTTTTCTCTCAATGCATTCTTTTAAGGCTTCAAATAAAGTGACTCTCACATCATCCCAAAACTTTCTGTAAAAGTTAACTGTTAAGCCGTCTGTACCTGGAGATTTGTTAAAGGCCATTCTTTTAATCGAAGCATCAAGTTCTTAAATTTTTAATTCTGATTCACAAATATCTTTAAAATTGTCATCAATCTGGGGTATTAAGTGATTGTGAGCTTTAAACAGGTTATTGCAGTCTTCCTCTGAAAATTGAGAAGAGAATAATTTGGAGTAAAACAAATAAACTTCATTTTCAATTGTTTTTGGATCTTTACTTTCAGTACCATTTATGATTAGGCTTGAGACGCAGTTTCTTTGCTGCCTGCTTTTTTCCAGATTAAAGAAATAAGACGAGTTTTTTTCACCAGCTTCTATCCACTTAGCACGCGATCTAACATAAGCCCCTTGTGCTTTGTCAAGGTAAAGTTTATCCAATTTATTTTGCAGTTCCATTAATTTACTTTTATCATCAGGGGTTAAGTTGGTTTTGCTACAGCATTGATGTATTTGCTGAAATAAGTTTGTTTCATAGTCTTTTTTCTTCTTATCTAACATCTTACTAAATGTAATACTCATTTCCCTGATTCTAAATTTGATATATTCCCATTTATTAATATGTCCACTAATAGATTTATCATTTTTAATATCAGTAATAATTCCTTTTACACGAAAGCAATATTCTTCATTTTCTAATAACTGTGCATTCAATTTCCAATATCCTTTAAGTGTTTTCTTTGCTCTGAAAGGTTCGAAAGTGAGATCTATAAAACTATGATCTGATAAAGGAGCTTTGGACATAGTCGTTTTAGTAGCATAGTTAAGTATATGATTGCTGGCTAACCAATAGTCGAGCCGAGATTTGCACGCTCCATTCGGACGCTCCATTCGGTTTAAACCACGAGAAATATTTGACACCTGGATTGATTTCTCTCCAAATGTCAAATAACTCATTATTAGCCATAAAATCATTGATAATCCTATTAAATTGCGGCCTTCCATCTCTTGAAGGCCATCTATCAAGCCATTCGTTTGGTGTAAGGTTCCAGTCCCCTCCCATCAATATATAATTAGTTGGATATCGTATCTTACAATCTGAAATTACAATTGATAGGTTGTCTAACATCAAGCTATTTTGATTTTCATTATTATATCCATATACGTTTGATATTATTATGAAAATTCTTTCCATCTTTACCACAGCAACAATCCAGTGTCCATCTGAATCTGTTTGGTGAGTGATGATCTCTCCTGGAAAGTTGTTAAAGCAAATAGCCACATCTCCAGACCTCGAGGTTCCATGGCTGAATAGTATCTTGTCGCCCCATTGGTTTTTCCAGAATGTTGAGTCCACATCTGAGGAATGAGTTTCTTGCAAAAATAAGCAGTGACATCTTTGCCCTTTACAAAATAAAAACAAAGCTTTTCGTTTAACAAGTTCTTTTAAGCCCCTAACATTTAAAGAACCAAACAATTATTTAGAATCTAACATGAACTACACACACTTCTAAGTAGAAAGAGAACAAAAAGAGTAAAATGTGAATGCGAAAACTAACAAAAAAACATAGCTTTAGAGCTCCCAGACCACACAAAAGTCCACACCAAAAATTCTTATCATACCTAATCTTCTGTCTGTCTTTTTTCTTCCACACGACGTCCATCGATGTATACGTTAGGCCCTCTAAAAAAGGCCCGTTTACCAGCTCTGCGGGCCTGTTCAATCAGTGGCCAAAGATGCCGCCGCTCCTCCAAATCTTCTTGAGGCAACATCTCAGCGAAGCTGATGCCCTCATCTCTGCAGGTTACAGAATCTTTGCTTCTTCTCCAGACCTCTTCCTTCACTCTTCTGAACGCAAACAGGATAATAACTTGTCTTGTCCGGTTGTCTTCTCTCTTTCCCATTCTATGAACTACATCCACAGCGTCCTCCATCTTCAGTTCAAGATCAGGGGTG